TACCTGCTTCATTATTGGTTTTATTTTATTAATAGTTTTTATACTTAATTCTAAAACTTCCTAGAATTTAAATATGTTCACCCATCATGGAAATGATTATGTCATCTCAAACGGTTTTGGAGCTTCTCTTCTTGGCTGATTGAGGGAGCATAACAGTCAGGGATATAGAGTCTGGAGCAATAAATTCAGAGAAATTTCTCTTGTCCCTGACTGCCTGGATTAACTCCCTTTTTATAATAATAACTATGTCAAGAACCCCAAAATGAAACAACAAAAACAGGTGATGGTAATCATGTGGTCTGCCCCTAATCTTGAGATGTATCGTAATATGATTTTCAAACCAGGCAAGTCTAACTCCCACTTCTCTTTTTCCTGTTTTATGAGTTTTGATTAATTTTTATTGTCTGTATTTACTTATTAGATGTTTAATTAACAACTAATTGAAGTTTATGCATTTGGAGTTGTGTCTGCCCCCCTAATATAGGTCCCATGGTTGTTCTTGTCACAATATAGCCTGTTCATTGGAAATGGAACTATTTATTGCATTGTAGTTTAAAATCGACTTGTTTTTAAAACATGTTTGATAGTGTATTTTATTGAACCCACTGTACCTAAAATATTTTTACTTAAGCATGTAAAAAAAGGACTAATCGGGTATTTTACATTCTTTTAAAAAATTTAGATCTCTATTTTTAATTTTTCTGAATAGAGATAAAATTGACAAATACCATTACATTAGTTTCAGGTGTACAATATAATGATTTAATATTTATTTATATTGTGAAATGATCACTGTAAGTCTAGTTAACATCTATCACAGTCACAATTTTTTTTCTTGTGATGAGAACTTTCAAGATCTGCCATGTTAACAACTTTCAAACATACAGTGCAGTGTTATCATCTGTAGACACCATGCTGTATATTACATTTCCAGGATTTATTTATTTTGTAATTGGAAATGTGTACCAAAATGACTTGTTTTAAGTGTACTATTAACTGGTATTTACAATCTGATTTATCTGGACTATCAACTTATTGTTGCTTTTCCCTCTACAGAAAGGCAGAAACTCTCCAGATGTCTTCCGGTAATGACGAAGTTTTTGTCCCAATGTCACGAAGAAACACCAGTGACCTCCCCAGGACAACCTCCAATGACCTGAAGACATTTACCGAAGTAGCTGTGTTAAGTTTTCATAACATCAACTATCGAGTAAAAGTGACGAGTGGCTTTCTTCTTGGTCGAAAAACAGTTGAGAAAGAAATATTAACAAATATCAAGTATGTTCATGAACTTGTATTAAAACAGCTTTATTGACCTACAGTGAGCTTGACAGTTTTGCTTATTGCAAATAAAGGAATTACGTTTGTGTACAACTCTATACAGACATACAGACACGTGCTTTTATTTCTTGTGGCTGAACTTGGAGTGAAGTGGTTGGATCACATATTAGGTGTGTGGTTAACTTTAAAGGAACTGCCAAATTGGGAAAGTGGTTGCTCTATGTGCATCAACTTTTGTTTGAGAAACTGAACAATGAATGTGTCGTTTAATTATTTCTGGGTACACCCTGTGGTTTACTGAATGCAAATGGCTGTATAATTTACTGGTTCTTGGTTGTGGGGATATAATTATCATCTCTGAACTTTAGTTTTCTCATCTGTGGAACAGAGAGAAGACCTGCTATTGTACCTTATGAGCCAGACACTTTTCGGTACTTACGTCCTTTATGTCCTTTATGTCCTAGATGCAAGAGCCAGGTAGTGGAAATGACAGTATATTGTAAAAGTACTTTGGTTTTCAAATACACTTGTTTTTTTTTT